TCAAATGTGCTTTTCGAATGGCGATGCCCATGAATTCAACAAATTTCTCCCCATTTTCATGCAATAATATTGCAATTCATATATAGGAAAATCATACATACATCTTGAAAGTGGAGTACTGGGGTTGAACCTAACTATTAATTAGCCTTGAGCCTCAGACATTTAAGTGATCTTGTAAAATGTATTAGAAATTAAGTAAAGGAAAATGAAATAACAATGGAGATCAAGAACAGAAACCGAAGAAGATGACACTATATATCTTGCTTTGCTTATATACGTTGATATATGCTCCTAAAAATTAGGCAAGCTTTCAATTAAGATTTAAGACCGCTCATTGTTTCAAAACAAACAAAAAAAAAAAAAAAAAGCTACCAACAATGCTATTAGCCGGGAACTTATCATTTATAATTATTATAATATATTTAATTAATAGCAATTCAAAATTATGTGAAATTCACTAAAATTTTATATGAAATTTACATTTATAAGTAGTAAACTCTTATATAAATTTTTATTTTAATTAAACAATTATAATATTATAGTAAAAAGAATTATACGTGATATATTCCCCTATTAACTTGCTTGGTCAAGCCTTCGAGGAGAAGCTAGGCTTCACATCTTTTTCTATGAAGGAGAATGACAAAATGAAGATTGCATGCATTTAATTAAGTTAACTTGATATTAAGTAAAGCCAACCCAACTTATGTATTGTATGGACCATTGATCATGTAACTATCAAATTAAACTGTTAAAATGCAAAGAAATCTTAAAATTTTTGCAATTTCTAAATCTTAGAATCTTATTGATAAGTATATAATCTTCTTAGCAATCAACAAGATAGATTTTGCAAACCACGGGTAAGAGAAACATTAAATTTACTTGTTATAAATCTACTATAGTTCAAGTGTTTAGTCTCTAATATTAAAACCACAATAAGGACGAAAAAACTTTCATTAAGATTGGTTTTAGTGAGTTTTATTGTTTGCAATTAACTAAGTGTTTTATTTAAAACTAAATTATAACCCATGCAAGAAATAATTTTACTTATTTAATATGAATATATATAAATTAATTTCTTTTTAAATTATATTCAAGTCTTTAAAACTCATAACATATATAAAATTATATATATTGACTTGTCATTAAAAAATAAACTTTCTAAAAACAATAAGAAAAAAATTATGTCTTTCCTTTTTATGGTTTTGTTTATAATAATATTTATACACTTGTAAGATTATATCAAATAAAAATAAATTATGCCTTTCTTAAGAAAATAAAAATATATATTATTAAATGATAAATTAAATAATAAAAGAAGTATTAACATACTTTTACATTAGTAATTTTGACTAAATTATTATGCAAAATATGAAAAATATTAGAAAATATATGGAAAAAGAAAATTTAAATTGAAAAAAATATTATTTTTCATAAAAATGAAACTATAATAACAATAAAATATATCTTGAAAAAAAGTTATAAACACAAAAAAAAAAACAAATTGCAATATTAATACAATATTCCTTGAAAAAAGGTTACTGAAAAAATAAAAAAATTGATATATAACAAATTATATTTGTAGTCTTAAATTTTTAGAAGAATTTTTTAATGGTAATTAGGATTAAATAGATAATTTTTAAATTAATTTTTAAATTTTAAAATGGATATAATAAGTGATAAAAATAATATTAAATTTTTTGCATTTATTTGAACTATATAGTTGATAATTAAAGTTCAAATTGATATAATGGTTTTGATGATCTTAATATTTAAAAATTTATGATGAAAAGTTTTTGAAATTTCAAAATATTACATAAAATTACTTGAATTTTTAATGTCTTACATAAATTTTTTAAAAAGATAATTTTTTAAATTAAGATAAAAAAAATACTGTTGAAAGATTTGGATAAACTTAATCTTTATAATTTTTAAACATGTTTGAAAGATTTTGATAATTAAATAATTTTTTAAATAAGGTTATTTGGTAAACAACTAAAATTACTTATTAAAAAAAAATAAATATTTCATATTTTTTATTTTAAAAATATATTTCTAAATTGATTTGATTTCAATTATAATTTAAATAATTTTGATATTTGAATAAATTTAAAATTATCTAATTTGTAATTAAAATAAACTATCTTATTTTTAAAAAAAAATCTTATGTATCATTTAAGAGAATTATCCACATAAAAACTCATGTGACAAATTTATTTATGTATGTTGTTATATAATACATATATATTAGATTTCAAACTTTTTTTATACATATGGGAGGTACAATCCTCCACCGAAAGTAATAACAATTTGTTTAGTTAATTTGAAATCTCTTTAATTGTTAAAATTATAGGGTTTTTTTTTTTTTTTTGGGTTAAAGACCTCATTAATTAAAATAAATAAAGGTACCCATATATGCCCAAAAGATTAACATCCATCCATGTACGTATTTTGAGAAAGATTAAATTACAATGATTTTAAGAAATTTCTACTTAAGTGGAACAAACAATTAAAGATGTCCAAAGTGAAAATCTTTTAGACTACTCCGCCTACAACTGATTAATTTTAAGTTAATACTTTAATTTAACTTCATATTTCCATCATTTTACCACCCTAATATGTAAATTATTTTGAAACTACAAACTCATATTGATGTAAGAATGTTTGAGCTCAACACAAGCCAACTGAGTGGCCAATTAAAGAAGCCTGATCGGCTAATCCACTCAAAGGCATGTTGGCACATAAGTCATGGGCTATTAATTAAGGAATAAAATAAATATGTGAACAAGCTTAAGATTTCAGTATGCAATCTTACTTTGGATTTCAGCCTTTGGGCCAATTAATTCAAGCCTCAAAACATTTTAGAAATAGGGGAACTGTTAACCATTAATCAAATATATCTATTGATTTCATATGCTTAAAATCTAATCAAACTTGAAAAAAAAAAATCCTAGAAGAATTTCACAATCACATCCATATTGACACTTTTGTCCATGATATAGGAGGTTTGGGTTTTTTTTTTTTTTTGCTTCCATGATATAATGTTGCAGAAATCAATTGAATTCAAGACAAAGGAGATAAGATTAAGCCAAATTATCAAAGGTGACAAAAACAACTGTACTCTTTTGTTTTGATTTGCCACCATTCATAATTTGGGCAAAGGCCTCTGAAAAGGACAAGAGAAAAGGGTTTGAATTGAAGACATAATAATTAATGTTATAATTGTGGTTACACCACATCAAATGTAGCAGGCTTTTGTCTAATCGAATGATGATGTTTCGTTTTTGGTCAACTTAATTACGTAATGAATGTCTCTTCAAAGTGGATTCTGTGGTAATCTTTGAAGAAAAGAAAGGAAGAGAATATGAAATATGGGTGAGAGAGTGGTGGAGGTGGTGGTGGGGTGCATACTCTGCCACTGCCCCCTGCCATTCACATTGGATAACCAGTCATTTCACACTCAAGCACCTTATTCCGCTACTTTAATTTCCATCACAAAGATTACGCACCAGTAATTAAATACATATATACTATACATATCCAAGGAATAATTCATAATTTTTGTGCATTTTTAATAGAAAAAAATGCATTGTTAATTTCCAAATGGACAAGTCATAAGTTGAGGTTGGAAATTCCGACAGCTTACGAATTTTGGAAATCGAATCTATTATTGAGAGATAAGAGTAAAGTTTATAGATAAGAAAGATCTTTTTTTTTTAAAGGGTTAAATGATGGAAAATGGCTACCATCTATATATATTTGATGGTTGAATGAAGTGTATTATGATAAGATTGTTGTGGCTTTCTCTCTACTCTCACTGTGTTGGAGAAGAGAGAAAACATACAAGAACTAAAAACAAAAACAGAGACATTAATTAAACCATGTAGCAATCGTCAGGCTGTGGTTACTTTTTACTCCTCTGCTTAGCTGATCAAAAAAAATTTTTTTTTTTTAGCCCTACCCCTCTGCCATCAACTTCAAAATGTCATCCACCAGGGAGGAAATGCTGCATTTTGCGTTTTCCTTACTTTCACTAAATCAAAACTAACAATTTGCACTAAAACCCATCAAACCATTTCCCACGTGAGAAAGTTCAAACGCATGAGTGTAGTTTATATAAAATTTTGTGTTAATTTATTTATATGAGTTTAATTTTATCATTAAAAAAACAAAATAGTTAAAAAAAAAATAAAATGGTTTAAGTATTTGCACAAGCCGTTAATAATAGATCTATTGAAGGTAATATCTGGGTGCGTAGATAGGTGGGGTTTACGACTCATAAAAGACAGACTTTTCAAATAAAAAATTTTGAATGTGTGAATATAGTTTACACGGAGTTTCGTATTAATGCAAATTAATCAATTTTAGATTAATGATGTATTTTATTATTAAAAAAATATTAATTTAATTTTTTTATCCATGGATTGAGAAATAGGGATAAAAAAAATGATAGGATCAAACTTTTTACACTATATGTTTTCTTTTTAATTTTCTTAATTATTAAATCAAAAGGTGAAAACAAACATTTATTTAATTTCATTGCTTTCACTCTTTTGATTATCAACCAAGAAAGGTCCAATGAATCTGAAATATAGCCCCTACTATGACTCTGAAATTGCAAATATATACTAACAAATATAAGAAACGAAAATTTAAAATTTTAAAAATTATATAGAGAATGAGAACCCCAAAAGAAAAAGGTAAAAGGCCCTTCTAGTGCTGGGGGAACCCAAGCCATCCCCTCCCAACTTTAGATAGCCATGTTGCAGCCAATCCCCAAGCTTTTCAAAACCCAAATCCAATACAAAACAAGCACCCATTGTTTATATTTCTTTGGTTGTAAATTGTAATTAAGAAATTTAGATTAACTTCATGGTTTCAGTGCGCTCCCCTCTTTTCAAGACCTCTCTTTTTTTCTAATCTTAGATTAGTGTTTTTTAATACAAAGTGGGCGCATTCTCAAGGGCTAATCTTTCTAGTTTCTATATATGATATAGAGGGATTGGAGTGGTCAAATCTATCTCCCTCACTTTTAACAATTTTCTTTTTCCAGATTGTGATTCCAATCCCTTTCACCACTTTCTGCAATCAAAGCCCTTGTTTATGTATCTTTTTTTTTTAAGTGCTCAAAATTACAGTCAGCAAAGCAACCCCATTTCAGCAATTGCGGCACTTTGTCTGTCCTTACTCTAGAACTCCCTGTTTTCTTGCTTTATCTCCAATTAATCCACCCCTAATATTGGCTTTTCTTGTCAAAGTTCGTCGTATCTTTACTCCTTTGCCTCCCTCCAAGCTGCCCAGCCAGGAATCTTGCTTAGTTTTATCACTAAACATTAATAATATTGCCAACTCACATGGGTTTACTTCTCGCCCATAGGTTCTTAGTAGATGGCTAGACGCAATTTCTAGTTATGTATTATGCTTTTCTATCATTGAACAAAAGAATCCATCAACACCACAAACAATTAAACCAATACTTTCAAGTTTACACATCAAATCTAATCTTCAGGTTAACAATTCTTCTACAGATAAAAGAGGATTACCGGAGAATTCGACGATCTTACGAACGATTAATACAACGTTTGAACATTTCACAATCTTAGGTTCAAAATCTATAACAATGAAATTTGGGGAAATTTGCTGGTGTTTCCTTTGACTGGATAATTACTGTTATGTACAGAATACAGTCTTCTCCTACAACTTGAAGCAGCATCGCTACAAGTACAGGTTTATGAGCTACTGAATGAGCCCCTGCTTTGTCTTTTTCTTAGTTGACAAATCAAATCATATAAAAATTGTAATTTCTAAAGCTTCAACAAACAAACAAGAAGCAAACAAATAATGAATCAACAATTTAACAAGTCCCACAACATTATCATGCAACACCAAATCATTTAATACCTTTGATTCATTTGATGTAATGTATTCGTTTAATGTAATGTATATCCTTTGATTCATTCAAATACCCATCAAACATTAAACAAATTAGAAGAAAACTCCCTAATCCATACAAAAAACAAATGAATTTTCTCTTTTAATATTCTACTAACAAAATTTTCCTTTGATTTACAAACTTGGTTTCTTTCTTTCTTTCTTTCTTTCTTTCTCTCATCTCTTCAACATGAAATGAGAAAAAGAGAAAGCAGAAGCGAAATTCCTCAAAAGGGCATAATATGGGTAGTCTTAGTATCATAACTTGATAAACAAGACTTGGAATTAACCCGAAAAATCTTGAGCAAATCCGCCGACATTTGCCTAACCGCAGGAGAACAATTGCTTTGCATCAGCAACAAAAACTTGGTCACCCCATTGCTACTAGCCACCGCTTCTTGCGCTCTTTCATCTCTAAACAAATAACAAACGCTCCAAAGTATTGTCACCGCATGCTCCGTCGCTTTGCTCGACACTTTCAACACTTTCTTCACAATCGCTTGTAACAATATCGAATCATGCAATATCTCCATCCTCCCTTCTTTGCAAGACGACAACGTTTCCAGCAGTTTTAATGACTTCTCGATTATTGAAACGCTCGTGTTTGGTTCGGATAAGAGGTTCTTTAATTCTGGGATTGTTCCAGATTGGATTACTTTGGTTTTTACTCTTTTGGGAATTGTGATTGCAATCAAACAAGATAAGCTCGCTTCGATCAATCTTGGATCCTTCTCTTTACTTAATGATTTCACCAATTCGGCTAATAATCCCTCTTTTTCAGCTATTTTGAGCTTGGACTCTCCATCGACCGCGATGGACTCCAGTAATCTAACCGATTGGATTTGCGAATCTGAACTTCCTCGCTGTAAAACCAGAAGAATCGTTGACAAGCAATTCGATTCCAACAACGGCTTCTTCTCCAAGATTTTACTTAACATCAAATCCAAAATATTAACAACTTGTTCGATTAATTTGATGTCCGTTTCTGCATTCCTCATGAAATCGAACACCGCATTCAAAAACTCGTCCATTCTGGCGAGGAACTCGCGGTTCTCCTCCGATTCTCTCGCGAAACAAACAATCTTCGTTAACGATGAAAAGCAATTGTTGTCAAGCTGTTTGACCAAGATTTTGACCTGATCTTGAGAAGGGACAACAACTGAATTGACAGTCGATTCGGCGTTGGGTTGACGGCCAGCGACTGAGTCGAACCAGATCTGAATGAGCCGTTGTAAATTCCGGTTCGGTACGAATTCTTTGCTTTGGAGAACTTGCATCGTGGCCGGACACGTGTTGTTCCCGCTGTCCAGCCACCGTTGGATGCTGCCTCGGTCGTACGTTACGCCCGTACACAAGCTCACTGGTGACTTCATCACGTCCAACGATATCGGACACCGGAAAAGAGTCGGAATCGTAATGTACAAATCGTCTCTTCCCATTTTTTTTTTCTTTTCCTCGTTTGGACAGAAAGAAAGTGAGAGAAAAATGAAAAATTCAGAGAGAAAGTGGCGGAAAAAAAAAAAAGAAAGAGAAGTGAAAGGTGGGAGAGAGACAGTGCGGTGGTGGTTTAAAGAGGAGAGAGAATTAGTCAAAGGTAGTGACGTCACAAATTATCTTTTAAAAATATTCACTCCTTTTTTTTTTTTTGGCTTTTAAGAGTCGTTGGTCAAAGGAGAGTGAGGTTTTGGAATCGGGGGGCATATATACGCGCGGGCAGTTCAGATTTTGTGATTGAAGATATGAGCCGTTGGATGAATGTCAGAAATAGCGTTACGGATCACGAGATGAAATGAACGGTGAAGATGAGATGAAGGAGAAAAACACGCTTAGATTGAGAATGGGAACGTGTTGTAGGGGAAGGGTGGGGGCCAACCGTGGTGTTCGGTTGGTCGGTCTTGATTGCATCATTTGAACATTGAAGAGACCCGTGGACCTTTGATTTGAGGAAGTGGATTTTTTATGCTATTTTTTTTTAAAGTTAATTCTTGTGGAAATTCTGTTTCTTTCACTTTTAATTTTATTGGCAAAAGGTTTGAGCTGTATTCGCTCCGCTTTTGATATCGTTGTCTTTTTCCCCCTTTTTTTTTTTTAAAGGAAATTTTATTAAAAAAAATGTTATAGAGTCGAAAATTATTGAATTATTATTGGAATGTGATATGGTATTTTATTTGGTGGAAATTAGAGTTGATGGTTAGGTTCAACAATCGATATCTTAAACGTTAAGTGGGCTAGGTTTGGTGTTGGCCAGCACAGATGAACCTGGCCTAGTAAGTTTGTTCAAGGCTAGTATCATAACAATAGAGTTGTAATTCATATATAGAATGTGTAGCTCAAGGCTAAAGGCCTCAATCTTTGATTCAAAAACTGGGCTGTAGCTAGGTTTTAATTGTTAAACTTGAAAGCAATAGAAAAACAATTTGTCGGTAATTGCTATCAATTATCGTGGAAAAGATTATTGCTTGCGCAAGGTTTGTGTTTTAGACTTTGATAAAAGTAAATGTGTTCAAACCTGGTCAGTTAGGCATGCTTTACTTAACAAAAACGTGTTCTGGAGTTGAAAAAAAGTTTGGCTTTTCCTCATTTTATCTCATTAAAAAAAAAAAGAATTATTTTTTTGGCACAATAAACTAATCTTGTGCATAGTAGTGGTGTTTAAGTGGATTTATGAGTGTCACACAAAGTTGGAATATAAGGTAAGAGTTAATAACATGAATAATTTTTGAATTATAATAAAATATTTAATATAATATTTAAATTTAAAAATTTTTAATGTAATATTTAAATTATAAAATTATTAACTACTGTGATATTTCAAAAGTTAGTTATTTATCATATATTATCCTTTAAAACTATTTACATTAAATCGAAAGACTATATTTATTAATAAATTTATAATTTAAATATCATATTAAAAATTTTTAAAATTTAAATTTCATAATAATTATTTCATTGTAATTTAAAAATGATTCATAACATTAATTTTATAAAACAATAATCTTATTTAAAAATAACTTATCATCTTATAAATTATAATTAAGTCTAAGAATGGGATGAAACGATTATTTTTAATGTTAACAAAAAAATTTTCAAACTGAATTCTTTAAATATAAAATATATGCAAAAATAGTTAAACGCAAATTTAGTTTTATTTATTCAAATAATCATGACATTTAATAATTTTAAATTTTATTTTTTATTCTTAATTTAAAATTTTCTTACTAGAAAAAAAACTCACAAATGCAACATCTATTATACCTGCAAGCATATAATGTCATCAATAAGTTATGAATTATTGACTCTTTTATTACCGGGCACGCAATGGGAAAATAATTATATTGAGGCTGTCATTTTGTAGTAAATGGAATTTAAACAATTATACCATATAATAGCATAATGAATGCACTCGCTAGTAGGACATCATTGCAGTAGCACCGAAAGTTCTGCAAGATGGGATCTGGGGGGCACCCAACATTATTTGCCTTGATAATCTACAAAGTTTCCATCGTATTTTTACTTGCACTCACCTTTTAAAAACATTTCCATTATATTTTTTACCACCAATTATTTATATATTCAAAGTTTTCAAAAATTAAATAACTATTATTACAATTCAAAATTCAAAACTTTACAAAAATATATACCATTATTGATAACAAATTGTATTTTGTAAATGATAAAGTTCAAATTTAACGACAGCTGGCTTTAAAATTGGTATAATAATCTCTGCTCAAAAAGTTGGTCCAAAATTTTTCATTACTTGATATAAAAAAAAATAAAAGAAAATAAAAATCGAACGCATTGATTGGCTCAAAGTTTTGTCAAACCCATACCTAACCTAACCTAATTTAATGCGGTACTGTATACGTGCAAAATGGGTGAATAGTATTTATTTACGATAATTTGTATATTTATATTATATAAAATATTAAAATTTATATATTCATATTATATTTTATATAAAAGTTATATATTATAATTCATATTAATATAAAATATTTTTAAAATTTTATTAAATTTAAATATAATAATTATTAAAATTTTAAATATATTATTTGTATATTTTTTGTGTTATATTTATATTATATTTTAAATTATAAAAATTTAATAGTCTCCATTGCGCGACCAAGCCCATGAGGGCCGTGCTAACACAAAAATCTACAGTAGAGGTAGGGTCATAATGTAAAGTTAATTGTCAAAGTCCGTACGTAATTTGGTATGACAAAGACGGTGGACGCTTTTGGTGTGCGGCAATCAAATCTATTGCGTTGATTGCAACAGATTTTTGGTTGTTTTTCAAGGACGAAGACTCAATAACTGCAAATATTAGAGACCAAATTAAGCTAACAATTACGGCTTTCTGCTAATTCCACTCACAAAGTCCAAATTGGTGGGATCTTTTCTCTTCTATACGCCCTTTTTCTTGTTTTCCACTTCAAAAGTCGTACTTTTTGGTTAAAGTGTTCAAACTTTGAATTAGGATGGCTATCAAGTCTTACTTGCAGAATTGGGATCAAATCTTATTATAATTTCCAAATAATTCGATTTTATTTTAAAATTTTAATTATTATTTCATGCAGATATATATTATGATAAATTTCCTTAAGAAAAAGGTAACAGTCGGTTATTATAATTTCCCTTAATTTGCTAAAAATTAGAAAGCCATAAAGTCATATTGGAAAAAAAAAAAAAAAAAACCCAATGGCAATGGCATTTTCCAATGTGATTTCTCATCCCCAACTCCTTGAAAAGGTGGACGGTAAACCAAATATTAACCGCAAATTGTTTGACTTAATTCAGACTTTTATTAATATTTTTTGTGTACATTAGGTGAGATTAATTTTCTAAATTCTTATAAAAATGCTGCACTCATGACCTTATACCAACCTCGAAAAAATTAAAAATGATTAAAAATAATATGGCTGAGAATTAAAAAAAAAAGAAAAAATAATTAATCTGATCTTAGTTACGCGGATAATTTTTTTTTTTTAAAGTAAAAGACACATATACTTTTAATTACATTTTATTATTGTAACTTTAATTTGGTTTTTAAGTAAAATTATTAACTGAATTGATGTTTGATTAACTCGTAACACCTATTTAATAAAAAAAATTAATATTAATGTAGATATATTCATAATAAATTTTTTAAACTTTACCAAGAAATTTTCAAGGCTATCACATATCTATTTTCAAAAAGAGAAACTTAATGCTTTAAAAAATTATTAGTTTAATTAATATTTTAATAACAATTAACCTAATCAACATGCAACAATCCTTTTAAATTATCAAACCATGATTATTGAAACTAGTAATCTAACATTCTACTAATAGAATTGCAAAATTCAATTGAAAAGTATATGTATAAACTAAAATTAATACCCCTTATTTTCTTGCAATTTTCATTATTTTTGGTAGGATTTACAGCAATATACTAAAACTAAATAATTGGATTTAATTCCTTTCATGAGTTATATGATGATATAGACAACTCAACTTTATCTATAAAATATTCATCATTTAAAAAGAAGAAGAAGAAAGAAGAAAAGAAAAGAAAAAAAGAAAGCCACTTCTCGGGGATGATGTGGGCCTGATTTGTTAAAGCCAATTTTAAAGATATGGGCTTAAAGAAAGAGGTTGAGACTGTGGTTGAGCTAGTTGCATCAATCATCATTTCTAAGCCTGCCTGCTCTCTACTTTTACCCTTTGCAATTATAGCCTTTTATAATGCACATATCTTCACTTCGGAACAAGTGTACATACAACACCCAACATTTTCAAAGATTTTTCGCTAGGTCTAACTGAAATATGCTAAAAGAAATCCTTGTTTTGTCGAATTATATTATAAATTTTTATGGAATATATATTTATCATATTTTTAAAATTAAAACAAAAGAAAAAAACTTTTAAAAGTTTTTTTATTTAAAATTATCAAGATTTAAAATTTGATCATTAAAATGAAAAATTCAATACTAAAAATGTAAATAATACATTAATATTAACAAATTATTCAAGCTTAACTCAAATAAAATTCAAATTGAACTCGATCATTGTCGAGTCAAATTCGAAATCAAGCAACTTAATTTATCGAGTGAGTCAAATTTAAGTATTCTAATATTTGACTCGAGTAATTCATAAGCCTAATTAAATTTTTAATTTTTAATATATTTTTATTATTTTAATAAAAAGATATTATTTTAATTTTATGTGTGTGATATATATAAATATATGGAGTCAAGCTCAAATTAAAATATATAATCGAAATTGAAATTAAGCTTATTTTTTATTAAATAAATTTTGAATGAGTTCAAGTAATTTTATTTTTATTTTAAATCAAGTTTAAATTTAAAAATTAAAATTTGATTGAATTTAAATCAAATTTCAAATCAAATTCAAACTCAAAATTTTCATTATATTGATTCAACTTGACTTACTTATACTCCCAAATCAGTCTTCTTATCACGGTTCACACCCTTATAAGGTATTGTCCGCTCTAGTCCCTTGACCTCACGATTTTGTCTTACAAAAGTCGTCT